AAATTTTTAAAAAACAAATTTCAGAAATAATTAAAACATATATATATATATTTTTACTAAATAATATTGAACTAAAATTAATAATAAAATAACAATTGAAAACATAACAAACTTTTCATGATAAATTTACATTTAAAATGTTTATAGTTATTGGAGTTAATTGTTAAATTGAACTAGTTAGCGGTTATTTATTTATTGCGGTTATTTATTATTGTAGTTAAAACACGTAACGTCTATAAAAAAAAAAAAGATAATTTTATGACATCAAATATCGCGTTAAGCTAATGCATTAAGCACTTTTTTATTTAAAACAAGGCCTGTATATATATATATATATATATATATATATATATATATATATATATATATATATATATATATATATATATATATATATATATATATATATATATATATATATATATATATATATATATATATATATATATATATATATATATATATATATATATATATATGTATATCAACCCTCAGAATTAGGAAAAATAAAATCTGCAATAATTTGCCGACCTCAATCTTTTTGAGGTCGGAAATATATATATATATATATATATATTATGTATATATATATATATATATATATATATATATATATATATATATATATATATATATATATATATATATATATATATATATATATATATATATATATATATATATATATATATATATATATATATAAATATAAATATATATGTATATACTTTACATATACATGTATATATATATATATATATATATATATTTATATATATATATATATATATGTACATGTATATGTAAAATATATACATATATATTTACATATATATATATATATATATATAAATATATATATATATAAATATATATATATATACATATATATATATATATATATATATATATATATATATATATATATATATATATATATATATATATATATATATATATATATGTATATATGTGTATATATATATAGATATATATATATATATATATATATATATATATATATATATATATATATATATATATATATAAAATAAATATGAACTTTTTTAATAATTTACAAAATAGCAATCTCAGCCTCATCTTCTGAAGAAAATGCAACAAATCCACAGCCCCTGCTTTTTCCGTTTTTTTATATTTTAAAGGGTTGATATACATATATATATATATATATATATATATATATATATATATATATATATATATATATATATATATATATATATATATATATATATATATATATATATATATATATGTATATCAACCCTCAGAATTAAGAAAAATAAAATCTGCAATAATTTGCTGACCTCAATCTTTTTGAGGTCAGCATCAGGTAGGCAAAAACTAATTGATGCAAAGGTCTAACCACCAAATATAGAAACGAGGTCGGCAACTTTTTGCCAACCTAAAACACTTTCAGGTTGGCAGTTAGGTCAGCATTGCTAAATGCTGACCCTAATTCCGAAGGTTGATGTATATATTTATATATATATATATATATATATATATATATATATATATATATATATATATATATATATATATATATATATATATATATATATATATATATATATATATATATATATATATATATATATATATATATATATATATATATATATATATATATATATATATATACAGGCTTGGTCGGGAAGCGGGAGCGATCGCTCTCGAATACTGACCACGGAAATTATATTTAGTTGCGTAAAACTGGCCAGGGTTTTTAGTCGTTTTGAGAACATTAAAGTTTATGTACGAAACAAAAAATTTTTGTTTTACGGACATACATGGAAACATAAAAAACTTGAATGTTCTCAAAACATCTTTGAGCGCAAGAATAAAAAGAATATTTGCGAACACTAAAAACCCGCCAAATTAACGAACAAACTAATTCTATTGGTTCAAAAAATACGCTGATTAAGCAAAATAAAGTTCTAGAGTATTCTGTTGAAATGTTTTAATTCACGATTTGTTACGTTTTGAGATTTCTAGCATAAATTGTTTTAAAAATATTTATTATTTGTTTACAAAAATAAATGTTTTAAATATATATTAAGTTGTCAAAATTTTAAAAGTTTATTATAAATCATAGATTTTATTAGTATATTATTATTTTTTATTTTAAAAGAGATTGTATTCTTTATGTAAATGTAAATTTGTGTATTTGTTTTTTATCATAATGTATCTTTTAAAGCAATTTTCATGATTTAAACAAAGACTTACAAAAATAATTGCGTTTTCAATGAAGTTATAATCGTTAAAGTTAATAAAACTAATTATGTAACAAACATATGAGAAGTTTCTGGTTACTAAACACAAACAACGCATACAAAGTAACTCGCGGATGAACAAGCATCGCGCCTGAGGTCACGACAAAACACAAATATATATAGCAAATAATTAGATTTAAAGAAAAGTTTCTAGATATAGGTTTACTAACTCTAAATATTTTCGCTTAAATTGCCATTCTTAAAACTCGTTATACTTTTTGCTGCTTTAAATACTTATTAAAATTAAAAAGCCCACTCACTAATCAGCACATCAGCGATATTGTGAAGCAGTTTCGCTTCCTGGTCATTAAATATTTTTAACCTTTTTAGTTGATTTCTATCTTGATAATTTAATTCCTATAGTAATTCAATGATTTAATTATTTCATTTGTTTATCTTACTAAGAAGAATCGCTTCAAATATGTTAAACTTTTCAAACTACGCGAAACATAAAATAGGTATTAAAAAAATTAACTTTTTTATTTATAAAATAATTTAGATTAAGTAAAACTAAAACTTGCAAACTTAGTTAAATAAAGAATATTTATTTCCCTTTTAAACAATCGTAAGTTGTTACTTTATATAAAAAACATCGCATAATTTTATTTTTTTTGTAATTGTCTCTCATCGGTCCAACTAATCTTCGTCGCTTTTTTTTTTTTGCTTTTTAAAATGTTCTCAAAACGACTAAAAATCTGGCCAGCTTTTCGCAACTAAATATTATTTACGTGGTCAACAATCGAGAGCAATCGCTCCCGCTTCCCGACCAAGCCTGTATATATATATATATATATATATATATATATATATATATATATATATATATATATATATATATACATATATATATATGTATAAATATATATGTATATATTTTACATATACATGTATATATATATATATATATATATATATATATATATATATACATGTATATGTAAAATATATACATATATATTTATATATAAATATATATATATATAAATATATATATATATATATATATATATACATACATATATATGTTTATGTATGTATATATATATATATATATATATATATATATATATATATATATATATATATACATACATATATATATATATATATATATATATATATATATATATATATATATATAAATATATATATATATGTATATATATATATATATAAATATATATATATATATATATATATATATATATATATATATATATATATATATATATATATATATATATATATATATATATAATAAATATGAACTTTTTTAATAATTTACAAAATAGCAATCTCAGCCTCATCTTCTGAAGAAAATGCAACAATTCCACAGCCCCTGCTTTTTCCGTTTTCTTCTAAAACACTACAGGATGTTATTGTTCCACATTCTTTAAAAAATGCTCGCAATTCCTTTGAATTTATTCTCTCATCCAAATTTGTAACAAATACTTTATTCTTACAAGGTTGAGCAAGTAGCGATGGTAAATTTGTAGATGACACACTCTTCTAAAAGCATAAATATTAAGTATTAAAAAGATAGCATAACATTTATATATATATATATATATATATATATATATATATATATATATATACATATACATATATACACACTCACACACACACACACACACACACACACACACACACACACGCAGACCTTTATTCCGAGGTTTGATATATATATATATATATATATATATATATATATATATATATATATATATATATATATATATATATATATATATATTTATATATATATATATATATATATATATATATATATATATATATATATATATATATATATATATATATATATATATATATATATGCGTGTTTGTGTGTGTATATATTTGTGTATATATATATAAATACACACATATGTATGTACATAAATGTAAATTAAAAAAACACATATTCATGCAATGACTTATATAGATATACATTTTTGAATAATTTTTGCTGACATAAAGAATTTCTGAAAATATTTTTTTTTTAATATCTGCAGCACGAACCTTAATGTGTTCTATATGATAAAATAACAATGAAATTAAAATTTTTTTCAAATTAAAAATTTTTTAAGGGTTCCTCAAGACCATTTAAGGGATCCCTGATATTAATTTAAAAAAAAAGCTTTTTAAAGGTATGTCTTTTTGGGTTCAAATGAAGCAAAACTATATACAAATTTTAAAAACAATAATCATATTTTATAAAAACACTTATGAAAAGTAATTATAAAAAAAGCTTAAAAAAATTAAATTTTTTAATTTTATGTTAAGAAAACAATCTTTTTTATGCAATAAAATCTAATATAATAATCTATAAATAAAATGATTATTATTTTTGAAATTTTTATATAGTTTCACTACATTTGTAACCCAACAAGACACATTATTAATAACAGAATATTAATAAAAAAACTCTTATTTTTAATATTAGAAACTCTTTAAATATTTAAAGGCATTAATTCTTGAGGCACCCTATTTTTATTAAACATTTTTTTATTAAAAAAACTTTTAAGTTAAGCGTATTATATCATATATAGAACACATTAAGGTGTTTACTGAAAAAAATATATATATATATATTTTAGTTTTTAAACTTATTCGATCTGGTTTATTACCGCTCACTTTAAAACTGCAATTTAAGGAAGAAACTTTTCGACTACCATAAAAGACTCTTGGCGAGGAGAAGCCAGCTCTGACTTAAAACACTTCCTGCCTTGGGGCTCTTGGTTGAGTAAAGGCTAGAGATAGTGTTTCAATAAAAATACTCATCTTGAGCAGATGTTGAATGCATCCAGCTACTGTCTTGTAGAAGGCTTCTTAGGCAAAGACTTAAGGGGTAAACAGATTTTCTCTGTTTACCCCTTAAGTCTTTCCCTGACCAGCTTCCCAACCCTCCTTTATCTGTTAGGCTGACGCAGATGTTATTTTAATACATTGTTTCCAGTTTAGGATGTTGAATGCTGGATCTTCTTGACTCATTGCATGGGTTTTGCTTGTGTCTCTATTTTTATTTCTAGGCAACTCCTTTTATTATCTCCTAATGAGAGCACAGCTCTAAAACTCAGTTTTATGGTTCTGAGGCCGGCTGGTAGTCAGGTTTCCTGAACTTTGTGGTAGCTATCAGAGGGGCTGATTCCATCAACAGCTGAAAAATATCAAAGTATTAACAGTGCCATGTTGCGCATGGATGGTGTCCTTGTTTGTACTTTTGGTGTGCATTGTCAATGCCACATTTAGAGCTCTTTGTTATGGCTTATAGTTAATTAATAGTAATAAGGGAATTGCTTGGACTATTAAACAGTGTACTGAGTACTGTCCATGCTTTGAGAACACAAAAAACTATCGTCATCACCAAGTTCTCTAATATTCATAGTCTTCAAAATAATAATCTCTTGCAAAGTTCACCAGACCTAATTGCAATTTTTTAAATCTTTATTTAATAAACACAATCTCCCATCTTGAGTATAATAACTTATTTTCTAATCATCTGTTAACGCCATTATTTCTGATGGCCTTAACCATCAGAAATGATGGCTAAGGTCATAGCTCTTGATATTTCTAAAGCTTTTGATAAAGTTGGGAATGCTAGTCTTCTCCATAAGCTTTCTTTTTATGATGTATCTGATAACATCTTTAAGATTATTGAATCCTTTCTTTCCAATCGTAGTATAAAAGTTGTCCTTGATGAACAGCACTCTTCTTTATATCCTGAAGAAGAGTGTTCCTCAAGGTTCAATCTTTGGTCCTATATGCTTTTTTATTTCCATTAACAATCTTCCAGATATTCTCACATCTAGAGTGGCATTGTTTGCTGATGATACTACCATTTATTCTTGTCATGATAAGAAGCCAACACTCTCTGATTGCTTGGAGGGGGCATTTGAGCTTGAAAAGAATCTCACTTCTGCTACAGCATGGGGTATATAGTGGCTGGTAAACTTTAATTCAGTTAAAACTCAATTTTTTTCAGTCATACGTTATCGCAATAACTTAGATCTTTCTATATTTATGAACAGTAATGTACTCAATGAGTCATCTACTCTTTATCTTCTAGGATTAACTCTTACTTCCAATTTTTCTTGGAAACCATATATCAAATCTGTTGCAAAATAAGCATCTGCTAAGGTTACATCTCTTTATCGAGCTCAACATTTTCTTACTCTGGATTCTATTCTCTATCTCTATAAATCTCAAATCAGGCCTTGTATGGAATACTGCTGCCATATCTGGGGCAGTATTCCATACAAGGTCTTCAAATGATGCCATTTTTCTTTTAGACAAGGTGCAAAAACGCATTATAAGCATAGTTGAACCTGGTTGAAGTTTGACTGCTCTTGCAGTCAAACTCCAACCATTATCATATCGTCGTAATATTGCTTCTCTTTTCTACAAATACTATAATAGGCACTGCTCTAAAGAACTAGCGTGATTGTGCCATTTACAAAAATTCATTCTAGTGCTACTCCTCATTCAATTAAGTCTCATCTTTTTTCTGCGACTGTTCCTAAGTGCTCCGAAAACTCTTATTCATCTAGTTTTTTTCCTGGAACATCAGTTCTTTCGAATTCACTTACTTCATCTTGCTTTACTGATTCATAAAGTTTGCAATCTTTTAATTTGTCTATCAATTGTTATCTTGCTCTACAATTTTCATCTTTTCTCTTCCAGTAACTTGCAACTTTAATAGTGGTTGGTTGCAGCCTTGTTGGAAGCGATGTAAAAAAAAAAAAAAAAAAAAAATTTTTAGTTTAAATGTTTGTTTCTTTAAATATTTTATTTAATATGAACACATCGTATTTTAAAGGTTAATGTAAAATAAAAAGTATGATATTCAAAAACTTTGACCAAGACATTTGGAATTGTTATTTAAACCATCTAAATTTGTAATTATGTAAACCATCTAAATTTGTAATTATATTTACACACACAAACACTCATAAATATAAACTAAAAACCTTGATTTGAGAAATTCGTTCTGTTGTGCGATTACATTCCAATAGTTTCACACATAGTTTCTTTTTGCAAAGCATAAAACCATTCATAATTCTAAAAAATAAAAAACTGTATAAACAATAAATATAAATAATTCTTTTAAAATAATCCTCACAACACAATTATTAATCAAGTTCACTAATTTTTGAATGTTTAATTTCCCTTTTTTTAGGATTTAATTTAAAGTAACTAAAAAGTGTTAATCATAAAAAAAAACAAAAAAAAAACAAGTGTAGTATTCTTTTTTTAAAACAATATAATCTTTTATTGTTTATTATTGCTTTCATTAAATTTTGTTATGCTGTAACAACACACTCTTATTCTGATAAAGATTATGTTACTTAGTAACTTGTTACTTAGTAACTGATTACTTAGTTTATGTGTAAAAATAATACAATAACAACATTCGCTGCCGGGAAAAATGAAGAATTTATACAAAAAAATCAGTTGTTTCAGAACTATACAAAATAATTCAGTTGACTTAAAAATTGAAAAAAAAACATTTTTAACTTTCCTTTTTATATAATTTGTTTTTCTATTCTTGACTAGCAGAAATGATTCTATCTTGAAGACTTTACAGACTTTCACATTGTGATCAATAAAAGATTCTACTGTTTCTTTTGTCTGAATGTTCATTGCACCCATAAAATTTTTTACCAATTGTTGCCTTAGTCTTGGTTTTTTTATGCACTTTTTGTTACCTTTGCATTCCTTTTTCTATAGGCATACTTTATTACTTCTAAGAATTAAAAACTCAATGTTAAACATAAATTATTTTAGTCTCTAGCAAATTTTAAATACAAAACAACCCTACAAAATGAAAGTTAGGATTTTAACAAAATTAAAATTCAATTAAAACTCAACTTTCAAACATTAATCTTAAACAAACTACTGAAACTTTTTATTTTTAAAAAGTGTTACTGGATTTAAACACATTAAAAAAAATATATAAATTTGATTTAAAAAAGGTTATGTAAATTCAATAAAAAAAAATTAAAAACATAGGAAAAACTTGAAAAAAAGTTACTTGTAAATTTGGAGTAAAATTTCAAAAGGTGCCAAGTCTGAGTAAATTGGCTTTGAGAAACCAACAAAAAACAGGACTATAGGGCACAACAACATGAATTTTCTTCTCTTTATCTGTTATTAGGATTAAGAATCTATTATTATATCTAATATTTAAATAGATAATAGATTTTATTATGTAAAACTGGGAATGAAAATAAACTCAAAATATTTATTTTTGTGACTTTGAAAGTTCACTTTTGCACGTTTTAAAAATTCACCCCTGAAATAATAAAAGGGTATCCATCATGAAGAATTTGTAGTATCCCACTATGCAGGATTTGTAGAGCATCAGATAGATCAGTCAAGACTATCTGATCCACTTAATAGTTATTGTTTTTAACCAAAGCAGATTAAAACACATGAAAAATTTTAATCTATAGGTTTAAAGTATGTGAACTCTAAAGGAAGATTTCAGAAAGCATGTTTCTATCAGCTTCTGCACAAACTTAAATAAATAAGTAACAAGACACACTTTTTTTTGCAGTAACTTTATTAGTTATCAATATCAAATTGGTTATTCTATTTTATGAAATAATTTAATATTGCTGCAAAATAAAATTTTGGCTTTGCAGTCAAAATAAATTTGCTGTAAAAGTTCTGTTCAGTTGAAAAATTAACTTAATTGCAATGCAATTGCAACTTAATATATAACTATAATTAAAATATATTTGTAAAAGATTTATTTAAAAATCATTTAAGAGTAAAAAAATTGTAATAACTATTTCATTATATCATCTATTTTATTCTATGCTGTTTTATTTTATATTTTAAGCAACTGCTGCTCAAACTTTTTAGCAACAGTAATATAAAAATATTTATTTCCTGTTTTTGTGCACATTTAAAGTAAAAAAAATGAATTTATATAAAACATTCTTTAAAATATTTCAGTACAAATACTTACTCTGAAGCAGTTTCAGCTTCTTCATTTTTTTCAAATGAGACTATGCCGGACTTCAAGCCATTTTCTGATCTCTTAACATTAGATGATGTAATATTTCCGAAACGAGCAAACAAATATCGCAACTTTTCATCATCAATATTTTCATCTAAATTGCTGACTGCAATTTTTTTTGAAGTATTCTTGTTTTGTAAAACCTATATAAAAACCTACAATCTTCAATTCCTAAGTTCTATGAACATACCTTTTAAATTGAAATTAAAAAGAAAAAGGTTAATTTGTAGTTTTTAAATTAATAGTTACTAAAATAACTAAAAAATTTGAAGAGTCTATTTAGAAAAGTGCTTAAGTCAAAAAAAAAATGTTTTGAAAAAATATATTTTGATCAGTCATCTCAAGTATTTATTTTAAAAAGTTATATGTCTGTTCAAAGCAGATTTTATCAAAGTACTTTATAACTTTTGTACTATTTAAAATATAACTAAATCAACTCTATAACTGTATAGCTCTTTAAAAATAAGTTAGAGAATAATGATCAAAATACATTATCTGAAAACTTTTTTTTTGTGACTGCACTTTTTAAAATAGATCCTTCATTTTTACTGTAATTTTTTAGCAAATAAAAAAAAAATATATAAATAAACTTAATTATTAGACATTAACTTGTGTGTTTATACCAGAAATGGTATAATAATTATTTATAATAATTAATAGTTATTAACTTGTGTGTTTATACCAGAGATATAGTAAGACAGTAAAGGCAAGACCAAGACTAGACCAAAACCATATGACTAAACTTAGATTCTTTACAGAAATCTACAAAACTTTAACAAAGTAAAACAAACTCAAGACTCCTGTCAACAAAAAAACAACAATAAAATTATCTAAAGAAAAATTGCAATAGCACATTCTGAAATCACTTTCGCTGAATCAGCGAACCCGTTAAACCAATAAGATTTATTAGCTCGCTGACACAGCGCGTTTCCAGAAATTCTTGAGCTTTCTTTAAAGTTCCTTCGCCCCATTCTCCTCTTCTTTGATGTGCCGTAGGCTCATTGATCCATGATTTTTATCGCTTATTGATGGCTTTTTAATTTCATTACTAATTTCGCATTCCAATAAACATACCCGAGATATAGGTCGCTTAACTTCACTGTTTCCACTTTCACTTTTACAACTCTAGTATGACCATCAGCGCCAGGATATGTCTCTAAAACTCTTCCTAATGGCCATTTTCCCTGCGGTGTATCTGGTGATGTAACTAAAACGAAATCTCCAATCTGAATATCACTTCTTTCAAGAAACCTTTTTTTCTTAGAGTTTAAGGTGGGAAGCCACTCTCGTAACCATCTCTTCCAAAAGTGACGGATAAGTTCTTGGATTCTGCGCCAACGTTTTTTTATGCTAAAATCCTCAGTATCAATGTTTTCCGGTGCAAATTCGCCACCTACTCGACCATGTAAGAAATGATTCGGTGTTAACGGGACATCATTGTCAGGATTGCAAGACTGGTATGATAAAGGTCTTGAGTTGATCAATGATTCTGCACCTGTAAATGCTGTCATCAGTTCTTCATCATTAATATTTGCATTACCCAGAATACTATATATAGCATTCTTTGGTTGTTGATTGTTTTAATTTTTCTATATTTAAACTAGCTACAAGCTCTTGAAGTTCTTTATTGGTTCCAACAAAGTTAGTACCATTATCCGAAATCATTTCCTTTGGAAGGCCACGCTGATTAACCATTCTATAAAACGCTTTTAAAAACGAATCTGTATCCAATCCAAATGCTATTTCCAAATGCACAGCTCGTGATGTAAGACAAGTAACAGGCACAAATAACGTTTAAGTCTTCTCATACCTCTTCCTTGCACTGTTGTAAATAGACCACCAAAATCAACAGCTGTTCTTGAAAATGCATACAAAGGCATTTTTAATCTGATCTTTGGTAATGGTGCCATAATCTGATTCCCGGCTTTAGCTTTTAGCCGTTTTCAATGCTGGCATTGATTTTCCCACTCACGTATTTCTTCTCTTGCTTATAAAATCCAATACCGACAGCATTGCCAAGATCTGATTTTTTCCACATACATGTTTTCCCTCTTCATGTTACTTCTTCACTATAAGTTTCATTATCCAGCTTTCTCTTGGGAGAATAATAGTTGAATCTGGCATCATGGGGCAAATATTCTGCATATTTTAAACGCCCATCACATCGTAATACACCATCCTCATCTATTTTTGGCCTTAAACATTGTATTTTACTAGTCGCTGGTAACGGTTTTTTGGCTGACAGCGCTTTGTACTCTTCTTCGAAATTCTCTTTTTGAGCAAATTTTATTAATTCATTTTCTGCATCAGTAATCTCTTCTGGCAATAGTTCTCCTGCAAATCTGCTTGCTTTTGATTACGTACAGTTAATGATAAAACGACATACTTATGCAAGCACTCTTGTAAGTCGAATCCAACTTGAAAATCTCTGAGGTTGCAGTCTCCAGATGTTATCTTTTACAAGCACTAACAAGGTCGAATTTGCTTTAGACTTTTTTATTTCTACATCATTGTTATCAAGTTTTGATAACAATGATGTAGAAGTAAAAAAATTCTTTCTGGCCATTTTTTTGATCATTAAGCATTAAGAAAATCTGGTCCTTTCCACCATCTAATTTTTTCTTTTAGTTCTGATACTGCGAGACCTCTTGTTATGTCATCAGCAGGGTTTTCCTTAGTTGGTATGTATGTTAGTTTCGGTATGAATTTCTCTGATTCTATTAACCACAAAAGGTTTAAATTTTCTACTCTGATTATGGATCCACCATATCACATTCATGCTGTCTGTCCAGAATGTCACTTCTTTAATATCAATTTTATAAGCTGCTGCAATACTGTAACTTAATCTTAAACTGCACCTAGAAGTTCTAATCATGGGATGCTTAATGCAGATAAAGGCGTCACTCTTGATTTAGCTGCAATAAGGCTAATAGAAACTTTGCCATTTTTATATTGACATTTTGCATAAGTTACAGCTCCATATGTGATTTCGGAAGCCTCTGTAAATGTGTGGAGTGAAAGTATCACTAAACTTTGATTTTGTTGTTGAATGCATCTTGGTATTTTTATGTCTTTTAAATCTGTTAACTCTTGGAATCATTTAGATGCTAGTTGAGATTGTTTAGGATCCAACAATTCATCCCAACTAATCCCACCTGTCCACATCAACTGTAAGAGCACTTTAGCTCTCATTGTATAGGGTGATAAAAGTCCACGAGGATTAAATAATGTTGCTATCTTTCTTAAGAAGTTTCTTTTGGTGAATACAAAATTTTCATCAGGTGCTTGATACTTAAATGCAAAAACGTCTTCTTTTAATAACCACATAATCCCTAAGGTTTTGATTGAAGGCCATTCACTTTTGTCCAAATCTACTTCTTGAGATCTGTCTTTAATTGGGATTTCTTTCAATAATATTTTAGAGTTGGATAACCATTTTAGTACATGCATTCCAGCTAAATTCCAAACTGTATTTAACTGTTTGTATAACTCAATATCAATTTTTTTACCAGTAACAGAGTTGATACTTTCATCCATGTATGTCGATTTAAAAATTGTTTCTGCAGCTAAAGGATACTTTTCAATGTGTTTCTTTGCATTTTCTTGTGATACAAACTATGCTAAAAAAAGGCAATGAATTGATACCGAACACTACTCTTTGGAATTCGAAAATGTCGGGGTCCCTGCTTTGATCTAGATCTCTCCATAAAAATCTTTGAAACTTTCTATCGTCCGGTGAAACAGATATTTGTAGATACATTTCTGCTATATTGCAAATCACTGCCATAGGATATCATCGAAATCGTAGTAACATTCGAAACAAGTCTTGTTGAAGCTTTGGACCTTGAAGAATTTTATTGTTAAGTGATAATCCGTTATGCTTTGCTGATCCATCAAATATTGGTTGTGTTTTTGTAGTCTGATGGTTTATCCGAATAACAGGGAAATAAGGTAAATACTAACTATCACAATTAACTTCTAATTTTTCTAGCTTTTGAATATATCCTTTTTCCCGATATTGTTTTATAACGTTTGAATAGCTTATACTAATGTCTCTATTTTTCATAATTTTCTTTTCTGTGTGTATTAGACGATTGAGTGCTGTTTTGAAATTACTTGTTAACTTTAACACTCCTTCCCTCCAGGGAATGCCAACTTGATATCTACCATTGCTGCTTTCTCATCAACACAGCTACCATTGCTGCTTTCTCATCAACACTCATGGAATACTCTTGCTTACTCAGAATCACTGCGACATGCCAAAATTGCCAAAGTATATTATCTGTTGCTGTGTTGTAATGTTCTTCATTTATAAAAAATGTATGAACAAAGCTTGTATAATAATTTTGATTTAATTTAACAGGGCTGCACATGCAAGTCCATTCTAGTGGAGTGAGACGAGCAACAGGCTCTCCTGGATGACCATGCACATCTTTAACTGAGTAGTAAAGGTCAGCATAGTCTATAGCAATTAAAATCGAAATAATTGGTTTTGGACCCACGCTCGGAAAATTGATATTTTTCAAATGTTTCCACTTTGTTGCATGTTTCTTCCAGGCCATTGGTTTTAAGTATCCAGTTACTTTGTTTGCGGTATTTGCTGCAATTTTCATATTCACTTCACCATCCTAACCTTCACGTTTTAATAAACCTATCAATTCAATTATTTAAGATGCTTACTGTCACGTCTTGTGGCTTACCATTTAACCCTAGTTCACTAGCAACGTTGTTATTTAGATAAGTTGATATTTAGAGTTTTTGTACTTGCATCATCCAACAAGGCATTAACTATAACTTTCTTTCCACAACCTTCAGGAAGACTGGAACAATTCTAAGTGCTAAATAAACACCACAACCATTATTTTTAAGTTTTGATTCCATTGACATTGTAATGTTTGCAGTTTTTTTAAGTTGCTCCTCCTCCGTGACATTCGTTAACTGGGACTTTTTATTTTATTCAATCCGGTTGTCTCAGTTAATTGGATTCGACTTATGTAGCAATTTGTTGTGTGTTTCGTTACATTCATTAATACCACATATTCTTGTTTTAGTACACAGACTTCCAGTATGGTTGTTTCCCAAGCATTGATAACATAATTTATTACTTTTTGCAAATTTCTATCTATCTATAGTATCAAGTTGT